GTCTCCCTCAAGGGAAAGCAGCATGGCGCAGAGAGAGGGGGAAGCGGCTGCTAAGAACTCCAGCTCAAACTGCATGTCCTCTAAGATGTCACAGCCAAGGGCAGACTCACCCCCGACGGACACAGGATGGGGAGGTGGAGCAGCCATGACACGCGTGGCGTAGTCAAGACGGCGGGTGGAGGCAAAGTCAGCGACAGCGGCAGTAAGAGCCGAGACAGACGACGGAGAGGCACGAGGGTCGGTGACAAGAGAGGCGAGAACACGAGAGACAACAGGGCGAGCAGCACGATAGTAGTCTGTGATAGGGCGAGAGGAAACGATGAGAGATGACTCAGGAGGCGAGGGGAGAACAGACACACGCGGGGAACGACGAGGAAGAGAACGAAACAAGACGGTGCGGAGGTCGGCAAGAGGAGACGAGGGCCGAGCACGCGGAGGACAACGACTGGTCCAGTCGTGCGGGACAACAGAAGGAGACGACCATGAGTGAGGAGGAGAGAAAACAGCCGGAGTTGAGTCCGGAGGACGAAACGTAGGACCGTACGCAGTAGGTGACTAGGAGTGGACAGGAGGAGAGGAAGGAAGACCAAGGGCCCGAAGGCCACTCATTGGAGGGAACAACTGCTGCAACGGTGGCGGCTGCGGTGTCTGCTACTGGTGCTGCTGCTGTTGCCGCTGGTCCAACTGCTGCAGCTCCTGCCTCTCCTGCTCCACCCGCTCCTGCTCCTCGCGCTCAAGCTGGCGAAGGGCCTGGAAACGGGTGTCGTGGCGGTGGGGACGCGCAGTGGGCGACGCAGTGGGCGAGCCTCCAGCTCCCGTCTCCTCAGTACCAGCACCTCCAACTCCAGCAACCCCCTAGCACCTCCAGTGCCAGCACCTCCAGCACCAGCACCCCAAGAACTAGCACCCCCAGTGCCAGCACCTCCAGCTCTAGTACCCCCAAAACTAGCACCTCCAGTGCCAGAACCTCCAGCTCCAGCATCCCCAGAGCTAGCGCCACCTGCGCCAGCACCTCCAGCTCCAGCACCCCTCGAACGAGCTCCCCCAGACCGAGTACCGCCAGTGGTTGCACCTCCAGCTCCAACACCAACCGAGTCCACAGTAACCTGTCGCGGAATTGCCGAAGGCTGCTGAAGGGATTGTGAGGAGGGCTGCTGGGAGGGAGACGCTACCTGACGCGCGACCGAGGGTAGAGGGGTAGCGTGAGACACACCTGACGGGGCAGGACCAGGGGGGGGTGGGGGTACCGGAGGAGCGGGAGCAAGGGGAAGAGAGGGTGCGAGGAAGAGGGGGGAAGGGGGATCCGGGAGACCTCGACAGGGGTACCGAGTGTAGTAGGACACTGACTCGTCAAACCGGACGTCATGAGAGTCTAGAAACTGGTGGAGAGGCGGGTGGTAAAAGGAGTAGTCGGGAGACCCCATCGGGAAACCAAGAAAGACACAGGTGATGGCGCGAGCCGAGAGCTTGTCCGCAGAAGTGTCGCGGACAAGCGCCAAGCAGCCCCAGACGTGAAAAGCCGACCCAACACCAGGGGACCCAGTCCAAAGACTGGTCGGTGAAACCTCTGGCCGCGAGACACGCGGCTGGAGGTTCAGCTGGTGCGCGCCGTAGCGCAGCGCGTAGGGCCACAGAAAATGGGGCGCACGGGCATGGATCATGGACGTGCGGGCGATGTCCATGACCAAGCCAATGCGGTGCTCAGCCGCCCCATTCTGCTGTGGGGACTCCGGCAGCATGCAGGACTGTCTGATGCCCTGCTCGCCGCAGAACCCCGGCAAGGATGCTGAAGCGAAACTCACCCCCTTGGTCGGAGTGGAGACAATACACACGACTACCACGAGTGCCCTCAGTGGCCAGCAGCCACCGGATCAGCGTAGAAGTCACCTTGGACTTCTTCGCGAGAGGAAACACTGTGGTGTACCTGGAGTAGTCGTCAACGGCCACTAGAAAGTAGCGCTCCCTCTCAGGTCCCAACGTGGGTGCAGGGCCCTAGACGTCCAGGTGGAGAGTCTGGAAGGGAGCAGTGGCCGGACTAAGGGAGGAGGAATGCGGAGTGGCGCGCAGGCGGCCGACGATGCAAGGAGTGCACGGCGGTGCTGACGAGGGAGGGAGCGACGCAAAGACGCGAGGGAGACCTGAGACAGACGCTGGCTGGCCATGCTGCGGAGGCGTGGGATGGACGGGTGACCTAGACGGTGGTGCCACAAGACTGTCGGGTGGGAGAGCGACCGACAGGAGCAAGACGCAACAACCAGACCAGACACAGCAACCGGACCGGACACAACCTGACTGGACACAGCAACCTGAGGGGACGCAGCAACCTGACCGGGCGCTGCTACCTGGGGGGATGCAATGTGCAGAACGAAGAGACCCGAGTGGGGCTCCCTTGTGAACGTGGCAAGAAGTGCCCTTGTGGAAGCGCCCGTACAGATCGCCGTCCTCCCATGCAAAGGAAAAGTGACTGTGATCCCACGGTCCTGAAGGTATTCAACACCCACCAAGTTCCGAGAGAACCTTGGGATGTAGAGACCAGCGAGGAAACTAGAAGGGACAGCCGGGCACGGGAGAGTGGTCAAGCTGCGAGCGACTGCTGGTCGTGAAGTAGGATCAGCAAGGGCAACCGTGACTGGAGCCAAAAGAGGTGTGATAGTGGTGTGGTCGCGGAAGAAACACTGAGACGCGCCTGAGTCCAGCGTGAAGGAGAGCGACGTGACAGCAGTCATCATGGCTGGACTAGTGACTACAGAAGCACCTACACTAAAAGCACAAGTACCTACACTAGTAACAGGCAAAGGTCCTAAGCTAGGTACACGCAAGCCAAGAGACCCATACGTGACAAAATAAGCAGCATCCATAGACATATCAAACACAGGGTAACCACTACGAGACAGACCGGGCCAGATCGGTGGCCTCAACTCAGACCCAAAGCACTCATGGTAGAGGTCGTCGATGCGACTGTAGCAGTGGTGTGCAGAGTGGTCAGGACGCCAGCAGGTAGTGCCAGCACTAGGGTCAGTCTGGATCCGGTACTGGCAGGGGCCGACGTCGCGGCCACCGCGACGAGCCCCCTAGTTGGTTGGAACGCTACTGCAGCCAACGCTACCCGGACCACCAGGCCCCCACTGCTGCTGAGGGCACCAATGCTGCTGAGGGTGCCACTACTGCTAAGGTTCCCACTGCTGACACTGTCGCTGCTGCTGTCCCTGCTGTTGCAGAGCCCTAACGGACGCCATGGTAAAGGCTAGCTGGGAGTAGGAGTTGCAGGCTAGGAGGAGTTGGAGCTAGAAACGGCCAGAACGAGGAAGTGCTAGGCTAGGAACTACTAGCGCTAGAAGCAGCTGGAGCGGGGAGCGGCTGGAGCTAGAAGCATCTGGAGCTAGGAACGCCTGGAGCACGGTACGGCTGGAGCTAGGCATGGCTGCAGCTAGGAGTGGGTGGAGGTAGGAGCGACTAGAGCAAGGCACGGCTGGAACTAGGCAAGGTCGCCAAGCTAGAGCTAAAAACGGTTGGAGCTAGCACGGATGGAGCACGAGCGACTGGAGTGAGGAACGACGAGCTAGGACCGGCTGGAAGCTCGAGACTTGAAGTGCGGCCGATAGTAGAAAACTGATAGGAGTGGCCGGAGCAGGAGCGGACGGAGCGAGGAGAGCTAGAATATGACCGATGGGCGAGGTATGAGAAGCTATGAATGCTAGTCACGCGAAGGATTCTAGCCCTAATTCGCTCTAGGAGAAGCGACTGCGGCTGCCAGCCGCTGCTGGAGGTGCCAATGGTACTAGGTGTGTACGAGACAGTCAGTATGGTTGGAGTGAGGTGGCGCACGGAGAGCTCTGCTGGTGGTTGTCACTACCGGTGCTACTGGCACTACCGCACTACTGTGGGCGGCTGTTAGGTTCTGTGGGCGGTTGGGAGGGGCTGTGAGTGGCTGGAAGTTGCTGTGGGCGGCTGAAAGTTGCTGGGCGGCTGGGAGGGGCTGGGAGTTGCTGTGGGCGGCTGAAGTTGCTGTGGGAGGGGCTGTGAGCAGCTGGAAGTTGCTGTGGGCGCCTGGGAGGGCCTGGCGACGAGCGTAGCTGCTGGCGGCAGGCTGGCTGGCGGCTAGCGTAGTTGCTGTCGGCAGGCTGGCTGGCGCTGCTTGCCTGTGGCTGGCTGAGGCTAGCTCTGCTGCTACTGCTGGCGGCTTGTTTAACTGCTGGCGGCTAGTTTAACTGCTGACGGTTGGCAGCATTGGTTGGAGAGAGTGTGCCTGCTGCTCGTGGGCCGCGGCAGTGGCGTATGTAGGCGCTGCAGAAGCGGGCGTTTGCTGCGCGCGCGGCTGTTGCTGTGCTCACGGTGGTGACGCGCGCGGCTGTAGCTGCTCGAGCGACTGCAGTGCGTGCGGTTGCTACTGCGTGAGCGGCTGCCACGCGTGTACGTGGTCGCAGCCTAACGGCGGGGCACGCTCTGCCTACGGCGGGCCTCGTCCCGCGTGGCCTATAGCAGGGCGCGTGCTGCTACTAAGGTCGCGACCTAGGGAAAACAGGCCTGGGTGGGGTCGCGCGACCTAGGGAAACGGGATGGTTGGAGTCGCCACGGCGGGCTGAGGACGGCTCACTGGCTGGAGGGAGTAAGGAGGGAGGGAGAAGCTCTAGGACTAGGATGCAAGTTAGGCCTTGGAAGTATCTTGGCGTGATACCATCTCAGAGTATAGCGGAATTGTGCATTAGGTCAAAGGGGAGGAGTTACAAGGAGAGTGTCGAGTGAAATTGTATACCCCCTAGGATGTAACTCACTACAGGCTAAATGTCTGTATAACATAACTTTGACAGTTCGAAACTGCCTAGTCCGATCAGCTAGAGCGGCAGCCATAGCTTAGAACAGCTAGACTCCAACCCCATTCCGGCCACATGCCTCATATTTCCGCCTTACTCGTTAGGACTATTACTCCATTCCGTCCAATCCGGAGATTTATATTTCAGCGATTCTAGGCCACGTTTTCACTCGACATAGCTAGCCGTGCCATGGATGCACATATGCCCATCGTCGCCCTGGTTGCACCTCCCCATCGCCCACGCGCACTCCCTTCTGTTGCCCACGCTCAAGACCTTCACGTCGCCCACGCTCACTCCCTTCCCATCGCCAAAACGCAATCGTTCCGTCACCCACTCTCAATCACTTCCGTCGCCCGCGCTCACTCCCTTCCCGTCGCCCACGCTCACTCCCCATCCCTCACCTCCCCATCCCTCACCTCCCCATCCCTCACCTCCCCATCCCTCAACTCCCCATCCCTCACCTCCCCATCCCTCACCTCCCCATCCCTCACCTCCCCATCCCTCACCTCCCCATTCCGCCCCACCCCATTCCGCCTCACCCCATTCCGCCCCACCCCATTCCGCCCCACCCCATCTCCTCCTCACCCCATTCCGCCTCACTCCATTCCGTCTCAATACATCCACCCTGCTTCTCCTCCCGATCGCCCTCTCCCTGATTTCCGACCACAGCCTCGATCCTATTTTTCCCCAGCCCCCTCTCCCCTGTTTCCCCCCTTCCCGCCCCCACACCCTCTTCTGCAGGGACAACTGGAAGCGCGTGCTATAGCTTCTGCTGTGCTCGTGCTACAGGTGAGCCACACCAGAACATGCTCTGCTGCTCTGCGGTGCTGTGCTGTGCTCTGCTTTGCGCACACCTCTCCTCTTCATCCTCCCGAACCATCCCTCCTCTCCATCCCCCCTCCACCCACCTCCCTCCCTCTCCATCCCCCCTCCACCCACCTCCCTCCCTCTCCTCCCCTATTGCCTCCATCCCCCCAGTGGATCATCACCAGTCTACAGGGCCAACTGCACCGCTTTGCACACGTCCATTCCATCCCCCTGTCCCTCTCCTCCCCTCCTCTACTCCCTCTAATCCCGCTCCTCCCTCTCCTCCCCTCCTCTAATCCCTCTACTCCCGCTCCTCCCTCTCCTCCCCTCCTCTACTCCCTCTACTCCCGCCCCTCCCTCTCCTCCCCTCCTCTACTCCCTCTACTCCCTCTACTCCCTCTCCTCCCTCTCCTCCCTCTTCTCCCTCTCCTCCCCTCCTCTACTCCCTCTACTCCCTCTCCTCCATCTCCTCCCTCTTCTCCCTCTCCTCCCTCTCCTGTCTGCACCAGGGATCTGCTTGGGGCGCTGTGGGCGGATGGCAGCGGGCAGAGTCACGCAGCAGAGGCGGACGTGGTGCTGCTGGTGTCCCTTACCCCCCTCCTCCCAACCTCTCTTCCTCCCTTCATCACTTCCTCCTTTCTGGCATTCCTCCCTTCCGTCGCGAGTCCCTCTCATTCCTCCTCTGCTCCCTTTACCCCCCTCCTCCTTTCCTCCCCACCTCCCTTCACTCCGCTCCGCCATTAATCCCTTCCTCCTCAAGTCTCTATCTCCCTTCCATCCGTGCAGCCCTTCCTCACGAGTGCACTGCTGTCGACGACATGCACTTCACCATTGTATGCCGTCCCTCTCACCTCTCACTTACCCCTCAGCTCCTCAACAGCGCCTTGCACCTCCCCCTCTTCCTGCTGCCCCACACCTCCCAGCTCCCACTCTCGTAAGCCTGAAGCGGATCGGTTCGTGTGCTCATGGGTGGGACCGGCGGATCCATCCATTCCCCATACCCCATCTCCACATCCATCCATTCCCCATGCCTCATCTATCTATCCATCCTCTCCCCAGCCCGTCATCTACCCATCCATCCTCTCCCCAGCCCGTCATCTGCTAATCCATCCTCTCTTCTTTGTGTTGCCTGCATATCTATTGTCATTCTTTTTTACTACCATGCTTCCCCGCTGCAAGAGCCATGTCACATCATATGTTTTTGTTGTTATGTGTTGGCTATATGATAATACGAATAGCCATGACATGTCTTAATGTTGGATCTTTTTTATATACCGTATGGCCCCGGATATAGGCGCCGTCCGATTAAAGGCGCCGGCGCTTCTATCTGGAGCATGGCGCTTATGGCCGGAATTCGATTATAAGCGCCCCCCCTGTAAAACACTGACATATTATAAGCGCATGCAAATTTTATTTTTCAATGCTGATTAAAACGGCAACGAATTTCAATTTTCTAACGAGTCAACACCAGGGCTATTTTTTTGTTTTGAGCAACCCTTGTGATAAGTGTTGCACCTGTTCAAAAACCTGATTGTCAGTGTGACACCTTCTTCAAACCCTGATCCATAAGTGTTTTTCTTGTTTTTGAAAATCCAACCCTGTGGCATCAGTGTACCAGTTTAGCAAACCCTGATGAATTGATATTATCGTTGCACACAATAAACAATTTAGATCATCATACATGCCACATGGGTGTTGCTCGTCGTCAGTTACTTCAGCAGGCTGAAATTCCGGTTTCGACAGTTGGCAATCGGGAATCCCGGGTTACGGGAAAGGGGGGGTGGGGGAAGTGGGGGGGGGGGGAGGGTATGGTACTCGCTTCAGGGTAAAACTCGTTATGAAGAACGGTAACCCTGAGGCATCAGTGTGCCTTAAATGTAAACCCTGGCATATCAGGAAAATCCTAGCTCCACAAAAAATTACCCTAGGCCATCAGTGTGACTACCAAAAACCACCCTGATAATCAGGGTATCAGGGTGATTTACACTGATAAAATTAGCCCTGGTCAACACCCCCATTTTCACTTTGTTTAACTTTCGAGGACCTACTGGTTGCGCGTCCAGTCAGTATGAGTTGGCACGCGGGCAAAATGACGTGCCAAAGCTCTGTGCACCGTCAGAAAATCGCCCTCGCGCGATTCTGATCCCGGACCCTGTAAAATTCTGATTCGATTCAACTTACGAGACTGAAATGTACAATTTGGTGCGTTTAAGTTGTATTTCTGTATTGGTTGTTATATAAGCGCCGGCGCTTATGGCCGATATTCAATTACAAGCGCCCCCCTTAAAAAAACTGATTTTATTATAAGCGCATATGCGCTACTATCCGGGGTAATAAAGCTTTCTGAGAGTTGGATCAGCCAAACACATGACCACTACGAAGAAGCACGTAGAACAGACAATGTAGTTAACGTAGCATAGAAGTTGCCAGCTGACTTGTTTCTTTCCACTCTTGTCTGCTACACTGCATGCAAAATACCGGGGGGTGGTAAAGCCACAACACCTGGGGAGCAAAGGGAAACAGAGTGAGCAGGGGGGAAGAGAGTGAACAGGGGGAAACAGAGTGTGCAGGGGGGAAGAGAGTGAGCAGGGGGGAAGGAGAGTGCGGAGGGGGGAAATGGGGTGAGTGAAGGGGGAAGGAGAATGAGGTGGGGGGAAATGGGGTGAGTGAAGGGGGCAGGAGAGTGAGGAAGGGGGAAATGGGGTGAGTGGAGGGGGAAGGAGAGTGAGGAGCGGGAAAATGGGATGAGTGAAGTGGGAAGGAGTGTACAGAGGGGGGAAATGGGGTGAGTGAAGGGGGAAGGAGAGTGCGGAGGGGGGAAATGGGGTGAGTGAAGGGGGGAGGAGAATGAGGTGGGGGGAAATGGGGTGAGTGAAGGGGGAAGGAGAGTGAGAGCGGGAAAATGGGGTGAGTGAAGGGGGAAGGAGAGTGAGGAGCGGGAAAATGGGGTGAGTGAAGGGGGAAGGAGAGTGAGGAGCGGGAAAATGGGGTGAGTGAAGGGGGAAGGAGAGTGCGGAGGGGGGAAATGGGGTGAGTGAAGGGGGAAGGAGAATGAGGAGGGGGAAAATGGGGTGAGTGAAGGGGGAAGGAGAGTGAGAAGCGGGAAAATGGGGTGAGTGAAGGGGGAAGGAGAGTGAGGAAGGGGGAAATGGGTTGAGTGAAGGGGGAAGGAGAGTGGGAGGGAGGGCGACAGGGAGGGGAAACACTAAAGGGCAAACGATGTGGACCGGAAGGAGGCGACGGGAAGGGGAAAAGCGGGCGACGGGAAGGGAAGCGGCGGGCGATGGGAAGGGGAAATGCGGGCGACGGGAAACGGAAATGGCGAAGGGAGGGCGACGGGATGGCGAAGGAAGGGCGATGGGACGGCGACGGAAGGGCGACGGGATGGCGAAGGGACGGCGACGGGATGGCGAAGGAAGGGCGACGAGACGGCGAAGGAAGGGCGACGGGATGGCGAAGTAAGGGCGACGAGACGGCGAAGGAAGGGCGACGGGATGGCGATGGTAGGGCGACGGGATGGCGAAGGAAGGGCGACGGGATGGCGAAGGAAGGGCGACGGGATGGCGAAGGAAGCGCGACGGGATGGCGAAGGAAGGGCGACGGGATGGCGAAGGAAGGGCGACGGGACGGCGACGGAAGGGCGACGGGATGGCGAAGGGAGGGCGACGGGATGGCGAAGGAAGGGCGACGAGACCGCGAAGGAAGGGCGACGAGACGGCGAAGGAAGGGCGACGGGATGGCGAAGGAAGGGCGACGGGATGGCGAAGGAAGGGTGTAACATCCGTACCCACTCACCCCTGGTTTCGATACATCGAACCAGAGGTGAAAGGGACAATGGGTTGAAATGTGATTGGTCACAAATTGAAGGGAAGCGAGACTTACGGGGAAATTGGGATTGATTGGAAAACCAACCAATCAGGTAGTCCCTACAAAACTGAACCTACGAAATTGGTTTGAGTGGTTCAAAACACAACCCACGTAAGTTCAACTCAGCACAATTCAACCAATCAGAAAGCAACCCCAAAAGTGAGTCGACAGCATTTCCGCCGCTCACTGCAAGTCCAACCAATGACAAACAAATACAGGTTTGTGATTGCTGTGCAATTCTTATCCTTGCTATCTAAAATATAATTGGTTGGGAACCTTGTTTGTTGCCACATGGGCAAGGCCCAAGGAAGTGCACCCCTCCTTGCCATGGGGAAGGTGGCTGCACCCCAAGGGGGTCTAGGGAAGGGGTCTGAAGCCTCTTGGCTCATTCTTCATTTCCTACTCCCAACTAATCAATTGGGAAACAGGATTGTCTTCTCCTCAACTCACCCTCCAAGATTTGTTACTGCATTTTCCCAGCAACTCTCAGACTTAGTCATCTCCAGGAGCTGTTACTCTCTGGTTGTGCTAGAAGCTATTAATATATGGGTAAATGCCCTTTTTTATTAGTAGATCCGTTACATTGGTAATCAGAGCTATTAGTAGATCCTCACCTTGTGGGCATATAAGAGGATTCTGTAGATTTTTTTTTTTTTTCTTGGAGAAGTTGTGATTGTATTGTAATTTCTATTATAAGTTTTTGAAGACTACAAGCTCAAGCTCAAGTTTTCAAGACTTTGAAGCTTCTCCAAGAGTTCCAAGCCCTCCCTCCCTCCCTGCTGGTGGAACCATTGGAGCTACTGTGAAGAAGTTGCAACCTGTGTGGATTAACATTCTCTGTTGAAGACAATCACTTTGTGATTGTTCTTGCCTTATCCACTGCGGTGGTAAGGATATTTTGCAACAGAGGTGTTTTTCACATTGCTGTGGTTGTAAGATCTATTGAAGAAATTTCTCCTTTGGAGAAAATCTTGGTTATTCACTGCGGTGATAACAATTTGCAGTAGATCTGTAACTCACTTTTATAACACAGTGATTTTGCTCTAAATGGCTTCTACCAACTCCAATGCTGGTGGTGTTGAAGGCAACAACTCCCATGCTGAACTGGAGGCTTGTGTGCAGAAGATTGACTTGAACAACATGGATGAGGAAATGGTTGAAAAGGAACCTGCTGTTGACTCCCCTGCAAGGGACCCTCCAGCTGCTGAAAATTCCAAGGAGCAGGAAGGGGAGTCTCAGGAGGATGACATTGAGTTGGAAGGGGAAGAGGACATCCAGCATGCTGAAATTGCTAAGCTGCAGGATCATGCTGCTGAGCAGGATACGCGCATCCAGCAGGAGCAGTCACTCATTACCAACCTCAACAGGGAGCTCTCTGACCAGGACAACAAAATCGAGTACCTGGAAGTTGAGCTCAAGAACATGAAGCACGACGCACGGGAGCACGTTCATCAGCTGGCGAGGCAGACCTCAAAGATCAACGAGCTGCGCGAGGCTTTCAGTGCCCTCCGAAGGGAAACCATGTATCGCCCTGCACCACGAGCGGACCCGCCTGCCAACTCTGCTAGCGGTCGCACCAACCCTTCTCGCTCTGGTGGTGCAGTGGGTGACCCTGGTCCTTCTACGCAGCGCGCTGCTGAGCCGAGCACGCAGGCTTTTGGCTCTCTGCCAATCACCCTGTCGCCATTCATCCATGGCAAGACGGACGTGGCTGCGTGGTTGTCGATGATGACCGACCTGTTCAAGGCGCACAAGGTCCAAGACGACGCTCGCGTCGTCGCTGCCACCACCGTGCTGGACCAGAATGCACAGCGAGTGGTGTATGGCAGCAAGATCCAAGCTGAGGCGGATAGGAAGCCGTTTGGGTGGGAGGAATTCGCCTCTGCACTCAAGCAAGCTTTCCAGGTCCAGCCGACCCAGCTGGAGGTGCGCAGTCGCCTTGAGAAGCTGCAGTGCGGGAACCGCACAGTTCAGCAGTACGCTGTGGAGTTTGAGGAGGTCTGGGTGCTGCAGAAACCGGCGGAACGTATGAGCGAAGGCGAGAAGATCCACCTCTTCTTCAAGGGCCTGCCTGAGCACCTCCAGAGCATGCACATGACGGATGGGGCTGGGGAGTCGTGGAGGTCCTACGATCACGTGAAGCGCGTGGTGGGGACCACTGATAAGCATTTCCGTGCTTATGCGAAAACTACTACCCAGCCGCAGCAGGCCTCAATGCCGTCGTCTAGCCCTGCGGGTCCTAGCGGAAGGCAGCAGACAACGCCTTGGAAGGGCGGGAACCACAAGAGACCTTTTCAGCAAGGACAGCAGGCTGACCACAAGGCCAAGAAGGTAAAGGGAGGTGGAACAAGCAATGTCCCGAGCTGCTTCAAGTGCGGCAAGCCTGGACACAAGGGCTACGAGTGCCGCCACCGCAAGTCGGTGAAGTACTCTGGCAAGCCCAAGACGGACAACAAGCGCCATGATGGCAGTGGCCCCTCGGGCGGCCAGCGGGATTTTGCAAAGCCCAACTAGGGGGTGGGTACCTAGCGGGCATAGTAGATCGAGAGGATGAGGCAGTGGTCCTGCGGGATGAGGAGTTATTGAAACTCGAGTGCCTTGTTGATTGCAAAATTGCATGTGTGTATGCATTTTCTTTTAATGAAAGCTCTTTGTTTGCCTCTCGATTTCACCCACTGGAAATTATCACAGTTGAATCATTACGAGATAAATTCTCACTTATATTTTGTGATCACCATAATTTGCCTTGGATAATGGATGTGGTGGGTCGTTGCACCCAAGCGCACCCTCTAACTGCGGTTGGAATGGTAACGCGCACAGTTCGAGGTAAATTGTTTCGAGCACTTCAAGGATGGAGCGTGTTAGCGCAGTGGGATAAGGGACACCATGTCTGGTGGACACAAGCTCGTTCTTTTGGACGCAGCAAGCACGGCATTAAGGCATACTATTTGCCTCCCACTGATATTACAGCATGTCCTATTCGACCCAAACATCAGCAAAACCTTTTGTTTTCGGGTCGCGTAAATGGGCGCAGTGCCTCGATCCTGGTTGATACAGGAGCAACTGCGTCATTGATCGATGAGAAGTGGATGGGATATTTGAATGTTCCTGTTCAAGGACCATCTTGTTCTATCCGCCTAGGGGATGACAGGATCATTCCATGCAGAGGACATGCGTTGGTCAACCCGGATATCCAAGGATATCAAGAGACCATCAACGTTTTTGTCTTACCCCTCCTAGCAGGCGTAGACATTGTCTTGGGAATGGATTGGCTGCGGCCTAATGAGGTGATATTAAATTTCCAAGATAACACGCTTTCCTTCACAAAGAATGGGACGACGTTTCAATGGCAAGTCCCAAAGCGCCAAGCACTGGACGACAAACCTCAAACATTAGCTCTTGACGTACGCTTTGCGTCGGCTCTCCAATTCAAAGAGCATGTCAAGGAAGCTGATACACTTTTTGTTGTACAGCTAGACTCCGAACCAACTACTTCACAGATTATTGAGGATTTCCCACCTCAAATGAAGGCGTTGGCAGAGGAATATTATGAGGTTTTTGAGCCAATTCCGGACGGGTTACCTCCTGACCGTGCAGTTGGCCACACCATCCCGGTGGAACCAGGAAAGGCACCACCATTTAGACCTCTGTATCGCCTCAGTCCAGCTGAGTACGAGGAGGCTAAACAACAGATTGAGGAATACCTCAGGAAGGGATGGATAGAACCTAGCGCGTCCCCATATGGAGCACCTATCTTGTTTGTTCACAAGAAGGGAGGTGGACAGCGCATGTGCGTCGATTATCGAGCCCTGAATAAAATTACGATCAAAAACAGATATCCACTTCCGCGGATAGAAGATTTATTTGATCGACTACAGGGTGCGCAATGGTTCAGTGCATTGGATTTGGCGCAAGGGTATCACCAACTGCGTATAACAGAGGACGATGTTCCAAAGACGGCTTTCCGTTCGCCGTTCGGCCATTTTCAGTGGCGTGTGTTAAGTTTTGGTTTGACCAACGCTCCGGCCTCTTTCCAGAGGGCGATGAACGATGTGTTTCGTGATGCGATTGGCCAGTTCGTTTTGGTGTACCTCGATGACATCCTGGTATACTCAAAGACTGAAGACGAGCATACGGAACATCTGAAATGGGTCCTCGGAAAATTACGCGAGCATAAATACTACGTGCGTTTGTGGAAATGCCATTTTTACAAACGTGAGTTGGAGTATTTGGGGCACGTAGTGGGGCACAACGGTCTGAGAGTGGACCCCAAGAAGGTAGCAGCTGTCCAGGAGTGGCCCGTCCCACGCAACGTTGGCCAAGTTTGATCATTCTTGGGCCTGGCGAATTATTTTCGTCGCTTCTTGGAAAATTATTCCACGATAGTCGCTCCCCTCACGGCATTGACCCGGAAAGGGTGTGCATGGGAGTGGACTCCACAGTGCCAAAAGGCCTTCGAAGAGGTCAATCATAAATTAACCAACGCACCAGTTTTGGTGTTGCCAAACCCACAAAAACCATATGAGGTGGTTACGGACGCCTCAACGGTGGGACTTGGTGCAGTACTACTGCAAGAAGGACGCCCTGTGGCATTTGAGAGTAGAAAACTCTCCCCGTCAGAGCAACGCTACACGACAACTGAACAAGAGTTGTTGGCTGTCGTGCATGCGCTAAGAACATGGCGATGTTACTTGGAAGGGGTAGAGTTCGTGGTCACCACTGACCATTGTCCGAACACATATTTTTCTACCCAAGCTACCCTCACTCGCCGTCAGGCCCGTTGGGCTGAACTCCTTAGTGGGTTCAGTTTCGACATTCGTTATCGTGCAGGTTCCACAAACCTGGCTGACCCCCTCAGCAGACAGCCGATAGGGGCAGCAACCGGGCTTGACGATACCGAATATGCGGCTGTTTTTGCTGCCTGTTTTGGCATACTAGCTGTGGC